TGTATCAATTCGCTGAGATACAATTTTCCATTGAGTGAGTGATATACTTTTGAATATATCTACTAGTGTTGGGACGATTAATCGGAATCGAGAATCGGAAAAATCGGAACTTTTGGGGGTATCAAAACGGTATCGGAAAAAATTTGTGCCTATTTTCCGATTCCAAAAACGATTCTTTTAAATTTTAACTTAATTTTCCATTATTGGTACTAATGATAAATATTTATTGTTTTTAAATTATCACTAAAACTAAAATCATAATAACATCAAAATACGATGTAAATTTATTTTACTTGTATAAAGAAAAACAAAAAATAAACTTTGCATAAATTCTCTAGGTAACCTTTAAAAGAATGCAGTTGATTTACAATGTTCCGAAAAATGCTTAAAAATTAAATAGCACATTTTTGTCAAGAAAAATACTTTCAAACATCATTGATAATTAAATACTACCCAGAAAATGATGCAACGGAAAATTGGACACCGGAAAATTAGCAACAGAAAATTACGTCAACCATGAGCCAGTCGAGACTGTCGGATGTGGCTGTGCTGTCCATTGAAAACGAGCTTACAAGACAAACAGATTTTGACGATGTCATTGACCTGTTTGCCACAACGAAAACAAGAAAACATTCATTCTAAGACCATAGTATCGAATGTCATTCTTTTGTGCATTGCCGTGTTGTGTATTTAGTTGTTCTGAAAGTGAACAGTTGCATTTTAAAAATCTTTTAATTTGAACTGGTTATTTTGTGGTATTGGATTTTGTCTTGGATCATACATGTAAACAGTAACGTACCAGTCAGTAGAGTAAAGTAGAGGTAGAGCATGTATGAAAATTTAGCTACAGCTAACCATTCAGCATAGGGTGAATCGGGGTCATTAGGGTGATATTTGAGCGGACCACCCCGGGTGACGTTTACTCTAGCTACGCCACTGGTCTGGACACATTTATATTTCGGTAATATACGATAGCGGCACTCTCAAGAATTTTGACTGGATTTGACTTTGAATTTGACCAGTTGCCATCCAAGGCTATAGAAACCGGTCTGTCCTGCTATTTGCCCAAAGCTGAGAAGGGGTAGGGAAAAGGATTCATACCTTTCCCAAGAAAATATACGATAGCAGCACTCTCAAGAATTTTAACGGGATTTGACTGGAATTCGAACTCGGCTGTCCAATTCCTCAATCCGAGCCGCTATCCATGACTTCACCAAGAGTGCGAGCTGTAAAACTGAGATACACGCTTAGGCAATCATGTGTCTTTCGATACATGACTGACGAGGCAGATTTTTTTCCTGCAGTAGGTTGCCATTTCATTCTGCGGTAGAGCAGTTGCCATAAAAATTTATAGAACCCAATCTGTCCTACTATTTGACTATAGCTGGGTGGGGAGGAAAAGAAGATTCATATCTTTGCCAAGTTAATATACGATAGTAGCACTCTCAAGAATTTTAACTGGATTTGATTGGAATTCGAACTCGGCTGTCCGATTCCTCAATCCGAGCCGCTATCCATTACTCCACCGTGAGTGCAAACTGCAAATCCGAGATCACTTATGTGCCATGCGTGATACACGCATAGGCGATCATGTATCTTTCGATACATAACTAACGAGGCAGATTTTTTTCCGCAGTAGGTTGCCATTTCTTTCTGCGGTAGACCTGTTGCCATCCAAGGTTACAGAACCCAATAGCTGTTGGGAGGGGGGAGAAGAGGATTCATACCTTTCCCAAGCTCGTAAGTGAACATTATGGAATTCGAACTCGGCTCTCCGATTCCTCAGTCCGAGCCGCCATCCACTACTCCACCGTACCAATAACAAACAGGTACAAAAATGTAAAAAATCTAGGAAGAATTTTAACAGAAAAAACGACGCTGAAATCCGAAGCCGTACTGGGATAGCCAAAGTGAGGGTTGAACTCGCTTGCTATGGTTTGCAAGCCCACCTGCTATTCATTGCTCCCCGGCAGATAAACGACTAACATAGATATGTAAACGTTTTATCCTGTTACCATGTTCTTACGGTTGATTACAAATATAAATGAAAGGAAAAAAAACTCACGGACACAGAAAACAAGTGCTTCAGTGAGAATATATCGCGACTAGGCATGAAGAGAGAAAATAACTTATAGGGTTCCAATACCGAACCAATGGTGCGTTATTATGAACAACAGTTGACGCCTGACTGATCACCGACAGTCGATCTCAGATGAATGATTTTCGGGAGCTTCAAAACTGTCTCCACCCTTAAAGATGAGAAAGAGGGAACACATTTTTGATTGTCCCCCATCCGCACGAAGTGATTTTCATTCTAGACTTCATGCTTGATGGACATCGCACATGTTTTTATTGCAAATCCCACAGAAAGCAACACACACACACACACACACACACACACATATATATATATATATATATATATATATATATATATATATATATATATACAGAAAATGAGAAACGAATGCAAAAAGATTTATATGAATCGATGGATACGGTTTCATGTATAGATATATCCGTCCTCGTATATGCGATTGCATTTCCTATTTCACTCATCCCACATACACGCACGCATCACACACACACACACACACATATATATATATATATATATATATATATATATATATATATATATATATATATATATATATATGGAGAAAAAGTGACCCACTTTATTAAAAGAGAAAGCAATTTACTTAGACAAAAATTTCTTGAGAGTGCCGCTATCGTATCTTACCGAAATATAAATCTGCGTCTTAGATTTTTTTCAAATATCTCCTTTCCTAAAAGAAATACTCCGTTCCCTAGAAAACATACATGACTAGAAAAATCTTTACAAAAATAAACAGTTAAATGATTATTCTAAATATATATACATGAATTAATTTCAAACTAAAATAATAGGAATAATAATTTCATTATATTTTTTTAATTAAACAAGAAAAGTAGCAGCATTTACTCTCTTTTGTTTATTTAGCTTTTTACTTAGCTAGAAGTATATTTATGAGCGTTCTAAATGACGAAACACGCCAGAAAGAGTCAGAAAGACTCATCTGAAAAAGTTTTTCCTTTATTCATATATATATAAATATATATATATATATATATATATATATATATATATATATATATATATGAATACGTTTTAATATATATATATATATATATATTAATTTAATAATAAATATAATAAATACAAATATTACTATATTATTATTATTATAATAAATATAATATTACGTTTTAATATATATATATATATATATATATATATATATATATATATATATATATATATATATATAAGAAGATAAACCGCAAAAGTTTTGGGTTGAAATGTGTATATTTTATTTTAAAATATATATAATACTCTATTTTCGATAATTCTGCTACACGCGTTTCTGGTTTCGCTACCTTCTTCCACAAAGAGTAGATATTTCCACATATTATAAAATTGAATTTTTTGCTTGGTAGTGTCTCAAATGTCTTTCTTGGACTGGTGATAAGAGTTTATATGTATATTGCATATAGTTCTCTTGTTAATATCCATCAAGATGAATAGTTTTAGTGGCTTTATTGACTTGCTTGGGGTGAATTGGTTCACAATTACATATCTATATTTTTAAAAGTTTACATAATATTGCTACCATAACTGATTGTACTCAACTCAATAAACTGTAATATATATATATATATATATGAATTTAAATAAATAGGATTATAGGTATATATATATATATATATATATATAAACTGTTGTTACCGATTGAAAGTGTAATAATTGAAACTTGCCAGAACATTATTTTATACCCTGGATTTAAATATATATATATCCTTTCTTTACAGTAACGACATCAACGAAGTTGATTTACTTCCATTTAATATGTTTAAAATTTACATCACCAATAGTTTACCTTTCTTTTACACAGTAAGTCTATTTGGAATATTTTCATATTCATAATTTTAACGTGAAACTTTTTTTATTTCCATCTTACTTCTGTGTATTAATAAAGATTAGCGGAGAATGTATTAACTTCTCCAGTTAACTGTTAAATGTTGACAAATGTTTATACAAAACCATTGTAAGTACTTCCAGATGTATATAAAGATATTAGCATCGGGATGTTCAATATTGGAAGACTTGTGAAAAAAAGGAAAGCAGGAATTCTTGACTCAAGACGTTGATAGTTATAACATTAATGTATGTTGTCTCCAAGAATCCAAAATCAAAGACTCTATATTAATATTAAGTTTAGACGGTACAAGTTTGGAAAAAGACAGTAAATTATATGCAAATTGTTCTGTCATCAATATCAAATGGAAGAATAACATTCAGAGACATTGGATGAACAACCATTGTATACAAACTGAACAAGGACATTAAATGAGCTATCAATATATTTCCATCATTCAAGGTAAAAAGAAACAAACTTTGAAGTGCTTGGAATATCTGCAGCAATTTTGTCAGTCAGCACCGGACACGGAGGTTTAAACAGAAATGGTAAAAGTTATTTACATCGTTGCTGAAGATGAGAAATTACTGACTTACTGTTTATGTTGAGACAGTTATGATTATGATGATGATGATGCGGGTTATTAAATACAATGTCTACAATGGTCTTGATAAAGTACCTCAATAAATGAAACACATTTACATAAGGTTTTCCTCTTGTCATTTCTTTTGTACCGAGAAAACTAAACTCAGACTCACGCTATTACTAATGTAATGGATTCAATTCACACTGGGTTCCTAAAACCCGTGTCCCAGGGCTTAGAAAAAATCCTTTCAGCAGTAAAGCTTGTTCTTGCTTCAATATCCTTTATTCTGTATATATACTAAATATCTGTATTTAATATTTGCATTTCTCCTCGTTCTTCCCATCGTCTCTCTCTCTCCCTCTCCATCCCACTCATTATCTATCTATCTATCTATCTATCTATCTATCTATCTATATATCTATCTATCGCTATATATATGTCATATCTTTCTGGCTTACGGCAACATCATATTGAAACACCTGTTCCCATATGATCATCGAAGTTAAGCAACGTTGAGCTTGGTCAGTACCTAGATGGATAACTGCTTAAGAATAGCAGATGCTGTAAG